TTTATAAAATTAGATACATTTATTTACTGGGCTGAAATTTCACTTATCAGAATCAGCTTAAAGACAAGAAACTTTAAAATTATTTTGTAGGGCTGGAGATGGATGTAGCTCAATGGCAGAGTGCTTGCCTGAAGTACGCAAGGCCCTGGGTTCAATCCCTACAACTGCTTAAATAAATAGTAATGCTATTCCTTTGACCAAGTTATAAAACAATTATGAAAAGTCCGTTTATATGGATTTTCAATGTTTGCTTGCACTTAATGATTTCAAAATTTGCTCAGCTTAAATACTTGTCATAAATGTTCTTCCTGTACCAGGGTTCAAATTCAGACCATTTTATAGGAAGGTTAAGAGTAATTACAGTATTTAAAATGTAGGGCTGGGGATATGGCTCAAGCGGTAGCGCACTCGCCTGGAATGCGTGCGGCCCGGGTTCGATCCTCAGCACCACATACCAACAAAGATGTTGTGTCTGCCAATAACTAAAAAAATAAATAAATAAATATTAAAAAAAAATAAAAAAATAAAAAAAGAAAGAAAACATGTTTAAAAAAATTAAATAAATAAAATAAAATGTACTCATCCACCTTGAATTGCAATGTTTAATGATTTCATTATAATCCAAAATTGTGTAAACCAGAATAAAAATGAAGTATGCATGATGCTGTACAAAGATCTAAAGTAGGGGCTGGGGATGTGGCTCAAGTGGTAGCGCGCTTGCCTGGCATGCGTGCTGCCCGGGTTCGATCCTCAGCACTACATACAAGCAAAGATGTTGTGTCTGCTGAAAACTAAAATGTAAATAAAATATTAAAAAAAAAAAAAAAGATCTAAAGTACAGGGGCTGGGGTTGTGGCTCAGTTGTAGAGAGCTCACCTAGCATGCCTAAGGCACTAGGTTCAATCCTCAGCACCATATAAAAATAAAAAAAAAAAATAAAGGCATTCTGACCATCTACAACTACAAAAAAAAAATATATCTAAAGTACACAGAAGAGCAACCCTTCTACATAGTCTAAAAACACCTATAGAAGGGATTCTTAAAATTGTGTTATTATTATGCAGTTAAGCAGGAGGAAAAATAAAATTTATTCAATATAGCTCATTAACTGAAATAGCAATAAAAAATTATTACTGGCCTATATTTAAGAATTGGTAGTCTAAATGGTTTTAAACACTATTTTTTCCCTAACAAGACATTCATTAAGGAGTTCATTCAAAACGTGCCCCCATTTTGCACCCACCAGCAGAATAAGCTGTTAAGGCTTTGGGGTTCTCACTTTCTTTTTTTATTTAGTTGTAGGTGGACACAATACCTTCATTTTATTTTATTTGTATGTGATGCTGAGGATCAAAACCAGGGCCTCACATATGCTTACGCAAACGCTCTACTGCTGAGCCACAATCCTACAACCCAATCCCTAAGGTTTTGAGCCACAATCCCACAACGCAAGCCCTGAGGCTTTAGGGTTCTTACAACTCAAAAGTTTCTCAGAAATTCTGGTGTTGATATACTCAGTGAGCCAAAAATGACTATCAAAACCTCCACCAAGCTGTGCACACTAGCATACAACTGAAATCCCTGCAGCTCAGGAGGCTGAGGCAGGAGGAGCTGGAGTTCAAAGCTAGCCTCAGCAAAAGTGAGGAGCTAAGTAACTCAGTAAGACCCTGTCTCTAAATAAAGTACCAAGTAGGGCTGGGGATGTGGTTCAGTGGCCAAGTGCCCCCCAAGTTCAATCCTAGTACCCCTGTTTCAAAAAAACCCCAACACCCATAGAGCCAATCTTGACAAGTGAAGATAGGTTAGGAAAGGACAAGAACAGCAACTGCCATACAAGCCCCAAAATAGTGTATGTGAATATCTTTACTCCCCTTTCCCCTGCCAAAAATGAAGGAAGTATTCATTTTCCCCCCTCTATTGTCCTTACTTTCCTATAATAGTATGTTTCATATATAGGAAGGCAAGGCAAGATTGGTTTCTGGAGATAAGAGACTTGCTTAATGTGGCTACAAATGATTCAAAAAACTATTTCTTAAGACTACTGACTTATAAGGGAGGGGATGTTAGATTTAATCAAAGCCCTAGCCCCAAACTTCAGTATCATTTATATGCAATCCTAAAATCATTTCATTCCTGAATACAGCTTAGCTTTTTCTGGAGTACCATTAGTTAATCTATTAATTTTTTTTTTTTAAAGAGAGAGTGAGGAGAGGGAGAGGGAGAGGGAGAGGGAGGGAGGGGGAGGGGGAGAGGGAGAGGGAGAGGGAGGGAGAGAGAGAGAGAGAATTTTTAATATTTATTTTTTTTAGTTCTCGGCAGACACAACATCTTTGTTGGTATGTGGTGCTGAGGATCGAACCCGGGCCGCACGCATGCCAGGCGAGCATGCTACCGCTTGAGCCACATCCCCAGCCCTATTAATTTCAATTCTCCATAAAATTTCAATTCTCCAGGTTAGAATTAAATGAGAATGAAGTTTAAGCACTAGGTTCTACAAGATGCAAAATAATAAAAGATAAGCCTAGGGCAGTAACAAAGGGAAGGGGCTAATGGAAAATCAACATTTATAACCAAGTACCCAAAATCTAAATTATTACAATGCACTCTCACTCCCCACACCTGATAAGTTCTGTAATAGCTACTTATTAGTATCCCTTCAAACAAAATAAATTATTGCAGTCAATAAAGTAGTGGACAGGGGCCAATTTCCAGTGACTGTCTTCCTCTACTACTTTTCCACTGAATCCCTTCCTTACGCCCTAAGTCACAGGAGTACCTTGTAAACCCTATATATCCTATTTTCTCTTCCCTGTTTAAACCCTGATAGGAACAAAACAAACATTTGGCTTTATCTTAAGAGAAGAATCCTATGAAGAGCTTTGGTCAAAAATACTCAGCACTCAAATCCCAAAAATGACGATCATTAAATCTGTCATTTATTTAGAAGCTACTATCATGGGCTTCCAAATCAGTTTTTTAAAGGAGTTAAAAAAAAAATAAAAATAAATAGTGGAGGGAAAAAAAAGAAACTTCTCCTACCTGCTTTTCAGTTACTATATCAAGTTTATTCACAGCCCAAATCCCCCAAAATCAGAAAGCGTGCAAATATAACTTCAAGTTTCCTCCCAAGGGCAGGAGATTATCAAGGGAATCTATGTGCAGCATGGGGGGAGGGGCAGGGGGCAGTGGGACTTCCATACAAGCACACCTACACTTGTTTGATTTTTAAACACTTTGAAATAAAGACAAAGCTGACCTTGAGCTGTACTTCCCCATCTTATTCCCCTCCTCCTGCCAACAGGGACTTGTTCAATATAAACAGCAATTTAAAAATCCACAACACAAAATTTCAATCAGCTAACTTTCCTAAATTTGAGTTTTGGAGACCTTCTCTCCTTTTCAAATTCCAGAACGCTAATTTCTGATGATATACACCTGGACTGACCCTAAAGTTATTCACATGACCAAATTGGCATTCAAAGGAGAGGCACTACATAATATTTTGAAAAGTGTAAAGTGGCTTAAATATTAAGAAAACCCTAAGAATAAACGGTTCATCCCACCTCTCCTCACAAAAGCATTAAAACCCGTAGCCACATTTTTTTTTAACCTTTTTAGTGCTAGTTTAACAGAGGTGGGGATAACTCAAGTATCTAGATCCCAAACGTGGTGGACCATTGGGAGGTGGGATTAAACAATAAAACTGCTATAACTGAGTAGACAGACATAATAAAGTTCTTAAAAAGGACTAAAAAAAAAAAAAAAATCAAATGAATAAGGGGGTGGGGGTGTTAGCTCAGTGGTAGAGAATGCTGGGTTTGATTCCCAGCACCAACCCTCTGAGAAATTTGTGGGTAAAATCATGTACTTAAAATGAAAACAAGAAAATAGTAGGATCTCCTACATTCATAATCCCAAACCCCAAACCTCAGCTGACTGCCTGGAATACGTTAAGATCCCAACACGAAGTAGGAACACGCATTCCAAGCCTGGGAAGTCAACCAAAATCCAATTACCGAACATTATTTGAAATAACGTTATTTCTCCACAGGTCTTTCCATGTGTCATAATGGTGCGTACAGTTAAGTCAACATTTTTACAAATGGGTAGACAGAGGCACGGGTGTTACAAAGGCTAGAACTAAGAAGTCTCCTTGTCTCCTGTTCTATCCATCAGAACCTAGTGCTCATCAAGCCTGAAAAATACTACAGAAACTTCGGCCTCTGCCATTTAGTCCGAGGGAAGGGTGCACGAGTGAGGTTTTTCAGGACATCCCCCAAAAGCCGAGGCTGAAAAGCCCAAAACCCCGCACTGCAAGGTGTGCCGGCCTAAGGCAAGAAATCGGATCGCACCATCTCGGCTTGCCTCCACCCAAGGATGATCTGCTGTGATTCCCACTCTCCCATAAGACTACCCACCACAGTAAGCCCAAAGAAGCCCTCCGCTCGGAAGGATTCTCCTTTGTGAGACTCCACAGCCGCCGCCCCACACTGGGCCTCCGGGGAAAAGCCACCGCCCCCACCCGCCATATTTCCCTGAAAGGCGCCCGCGCTACAGCTCCCAGTCTCCGCTCTCTCCCCCATGTGGCGGGTGTTTCTTCCCCCTTCATCCCACCCAATTGTTCATCATATCTCAAGGCTGTCCCTGAAGCTCCCTTGGGGATTGCTCGCCCGGAGCCAGCACCCGCCATCTCCTCCCCCTCCCCCGCCCGGGGACTCGCCCTCCCCCCCAGCCGCCATTTTACAACCAACACCTCCACCCTATCACCTCGGCCTCCCGCCTCAAGAGTGTCTGCAGCTGAGGACAGAGAAGGGGTCAAGTCCCTGGGCGGTGGGGCCTCCCATAGCTCCAGGAGCGCACAGGCCATTTCCTACTTCCCGAATCCACGTCCCCAGGCCAAGCTCGGAGACGATGCCGCCATTTTGTCTCCCGTTCCCGGCCTCTGTGGGCGGCGGCAGAGGGTCCGAGAATTCCAGTTCCCCGTTGCCCCCCCAACTCACCGTCGTATCGCTCAGCCTGCTCGGCCAGCTTCGCCTGATACACCAGATCCTCCCGATCATCCATAGCGGCAGCGGCTCCGGAAGGGTCTGCGCGACGGATGGAAGCGGATAGGGTCTCCGACTCTCTCAGCCTCTCGCTCCGCGTCCGGGCAGCAAAAATGGCGGCGCCTCAATCCGGGACTTCCGCCTGCGCACGCGGACAACTGCTCAGCTCTATGGCAACCGCTCCCTGGCAACTGGCGCGGGGGGCGGGTCCTGGAGCTCCGCGCCAGAAGAGGCTGGAACCAGTGAAAAGTTCCTCCTCCGTGAGCTCAGCGGGCTTTCCAGCACCAAGGCGGGAACTGCAACTTCGGTAAGGGAGAACCCTCCCGAGGGAGCGAGGGAGGTCGAGACAAGGTTGGCCTAGGCTGCGCCTGAAGAGAAGGAGCGAAAGAGCCTTGACCACGATAGAGGGCCGAGGCCTGGCCTGCGGGAAGAGAAAGCGAGAGGCTATAATGTATAATGGTTTTTGGTAATGGCAGGCCTTTCTCACTGAAGTCAACTTATTCTGCTCTATCTTGCCCCTTTCTCAGGCAAGCCTAATTCCTGGGACATTTTGAACCTATTTAAACCTGGGGTTAAAAAAAAAAAAAAATGGGCCTCTGGATGAGGATATAGCTAAGTGATAGGGCACTTGCCCAGTAGGCATGAGGCGCTAAGTTGGATGCCCAGCACTTTTAGGAATCGCCATGGATAGTAGCAAGTAATTTCTTAGAAAGTGCCTGGTCTAGGATAAACGGGGCAAAAGAGTTGGACCAAGATCAAGTTCAAATTCGGGAAGCAGGAACAACTCTGAAAAGGAATTGCTTCACAGGTTAATGACCTTGTCTGTTTTGTTTCCCAATGGATTCCTAGCACCTTGTACTCTATAAAAACCTGTTGCCAACTTGGCAAAACTCTATCTCTACATATAAAATGGTCTAGGGATGTGGCACAGGGGTAAAGTGCCCCTGGGTTCAATCCTCAGTACCAAAAAATAAAATAAAAAAATGCAAAACATCAGGATATACCTATTTTAAGAGACAGGTAAATGCTCTTAAAATCTAGCAGTTGAATTCTTGATGTTTATTCCAAAGAACAAGAAAGTTGAAAACACAAGTTTCTACTCAGAGATGTGTTAGAACAGATTGATTTCATGGATTGAGTTTGACATGACTGAAGCCATCATGAGCTGTAACTGCCATGATCTCCCTTGTGAGACCCTGGTCAGTTTTCCCTGTGTAGTTTTCCAGCAACCATAAATAAAGCATTAGAGTGATAGGTGGAGCTTTATTACTGGATCTTGGTAACAGGTATGTTCCTGACAATAATATTAAGATAAATTTGGGGCTGGAGTTGTGGCTCAGTGGTAGAGCACTTGCCTGGCATGTGTGAGGCACTGGGTTCAATTCTCAGCACCAAATATAAATAAATATATAACTAAAATATATGTATACATATAAAATTTTTTTAAGAGAGAGAGAGGAGAGAAAGAGAATTTTAATATTTATTTTTTAGTTTTCGGAGGACCCAACATCTTTGTTTGTATGTGGTGCTGAGGATCAAACCCGGGCCGCACGCATGCCAGGCGAGCGTACTACCGCTTGAGCCACATCCCCAGCCCTATACATATAAAATTTTTTTAAAAAGATAAATTGGGTACATTCCAGCACAGATGAAATAACTTTCCTCCTGCCTAATATACCCTGTGGAAAGCAGTGATTTGAATCATGGTCTTTCTGGCTCCCTTGTGACTGCATTTGCACTGGGAACTTCCTATGGGAAGGTGTAGGTCAAGATGGCCCAGTTGCTATGGTGATGCCAGCCAGAAGAAACTCTGCAAAGGCGCAATTATTTCAGTCGGGACCTTGAGCTCAAGTACCAACTCCCAGGGATAGAGAATTCTGAGCATAACAAGGTAACTCTAATGTCTTACTAGTCCTGCATCCTTCAGATTGCCTGTTTTGCTAAAACTTTCCCACAAATAACCTTTTGATGAACCTCTATAATAAATATGCTGAGCTTAAAAAATGAATAAATAAATAAGAGAAAGGTAAAAACAGAAAAGCCAGACAAGAAGACTCACTGGCTCCCTATTCCATTCTTACCATAATTTATCAAATTTCAGCGGTAAAAGACTAAGAGTCAAGGAGGCACACTGGCACATGCCTATAATTCCAGCTACTTGGGAGGCTGAAGCAGGAGGATCTCAAATTTGAGGTCATCCTCTGCAATTTAGCAAGACCCTATCAAAAAAATTTTGGTGGGGCTGAGGATGTGGCTCAAGCAGTAGCGCGCTCACCTGGCATGCAGCGTGCGGCCTGGGTTCGATCCTCAGCACCACATACAAACAAAGATGTTGTGTTCGCTGAAAACTAAAAAATAAATATTAAAAAATTCTCTCTCTCTCTCTCTCTCTCTCTCTCTCTCTCTCTCTCTAAAAAAAAAAAGAAACAAATAGAAAGTCTGAATAGACATAGCAAGAAGGTTGAATTAGTAATTCAAAATCTCCCAACAGCCCAACAATGAATATATTCAATGTCATTGACTGTACTCTTAAAAATAGGTAAATGGCAAAATCTTTTGTTATATGTATCTTACTATGGGGGCATAAAAAAAAGCAGGGGACACCTTCCACTTGGCACATATTGTGGCACAGGCCTGTAATCCCTGTATCTGGGATGTCTAAGGCAAGAGGATCAAGTTTGAGTCCAGCTTCAGCAATTTACCAAGACCCTGTTTGAAAACAGAATGTAGCTCAGTGGCAGAGTACCCCTGTATTCCCCATTACTGCAAAACATTAATAAAAAAAGGCTGGGTGTGCAGCTCAGCGATAGAGTGCTTGGCTAGCTTGCATGTGGCCCTGGATTTAATCCCAAGTATAACAAAAATAATAATAGAATCAGGAAGAATGAAATGTTTACGAATAAATTTAACCAAGGAGGTAAAAGACTTGTACACTGAAAACTAAATGTTGCTGAAAGAAATTAAGTATCTGGAAATTGAAAGACATCCTGTGTTCATTGATCAGAAGATTTTTTAAAATATCTATGAATTTTTCCTGGACCTTTATTTTATTTACTTTTTTTATATGTGGTGCTGGAGAATCAAATCCAGTGCCTCGCACATACTAGACAAGTGTTCTACCACTGAGCCAAAACCCCARCCCTACAAGATTTGATATTAAGATAACACTACTATTCTTTTAACCTTAGCATCATCTTAGAAACCTCTGCACCATGAGAGCCAAGATGAGGAAAAAGTGAATGTGCAGAAGTTAAATTCTTCAGCCAAAAGAAGAAAGGCAAAGCAGATACTGAAGCTAACTTGTGCACCCATGGAGTCCAAAGGAGCAAAAATAGGGAATGCCAGAGTACTGGGAAACTGGTTTAAATTGTTGGACAGCATGCTACTGTCCAGATTGGTCTCAATGATCTAGAATTTCCATCACCATCAGATCACCAAGACCACCTCTAAGAGACCCCCACCTTGCTCATGACCAAAACAGTCCCTATTGATCCTTTGCCCTGAACCTGTGGCATTTTGAACTAGTTTGTTATTGGTTGTGTCCAAGTGTAACATGTGCATAGTAAATCATCTCTTCTACTATTTTAGCTGAAGAATAAAAAAAAAGAAAAAAAGATGACAGTTACTACACAAAGTGATCTATAGCTGAGAGTGGTGGCATGCCTATAATCCCAGTGGCTCACGAGGCTGAGGCAAGAGGATCACAAGTTCAAAGCCAGCCTCAGCAACTTATCAAGGACCTAACTCAAAATTTTAAAAAGACCAGGGATGTGACTAAGTGGTTAAGTGCCCCTGGGTTCAATCCAGTACCAAACATACATACTCACATAAAAAGTAAAAGAACTGGAATCTGTATTAGCTGACCTCTCAAAATTCCTTCCAGCTCTGTAGGACACATGAAAGCAGGTAAGGTCATGGGTTCTGTTCTTCAACTCCTTTAAGCCTCAGTTTTCTCTCCTATAAGACAGGAATGAGCTGGGACACGCCTTTAATCCCAGCAGTTTGGGAGGCTGAGGCAGAAGGATGGAGAGTTCAAAGCCAGCCTCAGCAACTCAGTGAGGCCCTAAGCAACTCAGTGAGATCCTGTCTCTAAATAAAATATATTTAAAAAGACCAGGGATGTGACTAAGTGGTTAAGTGCCCCTGGGTTCAATCCAGTACCAAACATACATACTCACATAAAAAGTAAAAGAACTGGAATCTGTATTAGCTGACCTCTCAAAATTCCTTCCAGCTCTGTAGGACACATGAAAGCAGGTAAGGTCATGGGTTCTGTTCTTCAACTCCTTTAAGCCTCAGTTTTCTCTCCTATAAGACAGGAATGAGCTGGGACACGCCTTTAATCCCAGCAGTTTGGGAGGCTGAGGCAGAAGGATGGAGAGTTCAAAGCCAGCCTCAGCAAAAAGCAAGGCGCTAAGCAACTCTGTGAGATCCTAAATAAAATAAAGTCTCTAAATAAAATAAAACCACTGTGGCTCAGTGATTAAGTTCAATCCCCAGTACCAAAAAAAAAAAGGAATAAAATTTTCCTTACACAAATGAGAATTAAGTGAGAAGTGCCTTATACTCAATGAATATTAGGTATATTTACTAATGTTTCTTTGGTCCAACCTTGAGTGAGCATCAGAAATTAATATAAAATTGGGCTGGGGATGTGGCTCAAGCGGTAGCTCGCTCGCCTGGCATGCGTGTGGCCCGGGTTCGAGCCTCAGCACCACATACAAACAAAGATGTTGTGTCCGCCGAAATCTAAAGAATAAATATTTTTTTAAAAATTAATATAAAATATATAAGTGTGAAAATAAAGGGAATGGTCAGACATTAAATTCTGTAGCAACATCAAGTAAGATTAGAGATCCAGGGGAAAACTATTGGATCTAGCAATTAGGTCATTAGTGACCTTCAAGAGCAGTTTCGAAAGGATGTTGGGAGCCAGTCTGTATTTGACTAAAGTACAAAGGCATTGAGAAAGTGGAAGTCGCAAGTGCAGAGGTTTCATGAGAATAAGAATGGAGAGGGGGCTGGGGATGTGGCTCAAGCGGTAGCGCGCTCGCCTGGCATGCATGCGGCCCGGGTTCGATCCTCAGCACCACATACCAACAAAGATGTGTCCGCCGAGAACTAAAAAATAAATATTAAAAA